AGCTGCCCCTTCTTCCCCTTACCTTCTGGGGTCCTCCAGCCCCAACCTGACCTGATCGGGCTGGGCTGGACTGGGCTAGGGCTGCTTCTGCTACTGACTACAATTCTGCTCTGGCTCTGGGGCAGCAGAAGGTAAGCTGGAGGGGAGAGGAGGCAGCACGGGGGAGCAAGGTGGAGGGAGGTAGGGAGTTGGAGGACAGGCATGGAGGCAAAAGGGGTGGCAGAGGTTCAGGGCAGCCTGAATGGGGGCATGTGGCAGGGGGTGCTTAGTGGTGGTAGGTACCAGGCGGGGCAAGTGGCAGGGGTGATAGTCAGGGAGGGCAAAGGAGTGGGGTCTAGCTCAGGGCTGGACAAAATGGCTAGTCTGGCCAGTGGCTGGATTCCATTTCCCAGCAGCCCTTGTCTGTCACTCCAGCTGGTTTCTGTGAAGACCCCAGGCCTGGCTGGTCCTTGACACTGTGGGACCAGGGTTTCCATGGAGACTGGCCCAAGCAGCGCTGGCAGGGCGTAGAGGCTGGGCAAGGAGGTGCTCCAAGGCCAGGGCCAGGATTTTGCGGCAGTGACAGCTGGGGCAGAGCTGTGATCTGCTGCTCATGTGCTCTGGGCAGGGGTGTGGAGGCAGCAGAGCGTGACTCTGCCCTGGCTCCAGACCACACTGTCACCACTGCAAAAATCCTGGCCCCAGCCATAGAGCAGCTCCCCACCCAGCCATGCACCCTGCCAGTGCTGCTCGGGCTGGTCTCCATTGAAACCCTGGCCCCAGTGTCACGGCCCCACTGCTCCTGGGGTCTGCATGGAAACCAGCTGCAGCAATGCAGGCATGACCTGGTGGAAAATGGAGTTTGCCTTGGGTCTGAACTGGGTTGTGGGACAGACTTTGACCACGCCAGGTCTAGCCCTTCAACCTCCACTATTACTAGCCGAACCACAGCAGTAGGGGGATGAATTTAAGACAACTTTCCACTAGTTAATTTCTTATATGGGAAATTATAGCACCTTTCATAATTTTTAATATATAGAATCTAATTTTGAAGTAATCTTGGATTAGGGTGAATTTGATATATGGAAGTAGCCAGTATTTTCTCATAACCTCTTTTAGTTTTCAGGAGCTTTCTTGCAATTGAGAATTCCTAGCTTGTTTTCGAGATCTTATGAATTCTGTCCTGTACTGAATTTAGGGTTTGAATAGACAGGAAACTTGCTAGTATAATTACACCACTGTAACTCCCTGTGGAAAGAGCAGTATTTTTGGAAAAACTATATCCACAGAGGGACTTGGTGATATAACTACAGCAAAAATATACTGTACATTTGCTCAAATATTCAGGGTCAAGTATAGGGGAAAGTCCTTTTCAGAGTTTCTTTTGTTTATTTGTGTTTTGTTTTTAAAATATGAATGTGACTACAACACTCTTGATAACCTGTGCCTTTTTTGGTTGCATGTTAAAAGGAAGAACTGGCCTTTGTCTTTGAGATGTTGCAGCAGTTTGAGGATGCCCTGGTGCAATATGACGAACTGGATGCCTTGTTCTCTCAATATGTTGTCAACTTTGGTGCTGGTGGTAAGCACGTTTAAATCAGGAAGGGAATGTGTGCCCTAGGGTAATTCATTACATTTCCTGCCCTACTCAGATTAAGATATGCCAGAGCCCTAAATATGGTCTTCCCTCTCCTCCCCCTGGCTGAGGGGTCCCAGTGGCCCCACCCCTTGGCTGCATGTCATGTGGCTTTGCCACTGGTTGGCTGCAAGGGTTGTCCATCATGCAGCCCTGCTCTCCTGCTAGTTGATGGAGAGGGGCAGGACCACGTGACAGGCAGCTATTGCAGCCAATCAGTGGCAAAGTGTGGGAGTAGCAGAGCAGCAGTCATCTTGCCCGCAGCCCTTCAAGTGGACAGCACCCCCTAAGCTTTTTGCCGCCCTGCCAGGCTGCTGCAGCACACTGAGGGGTGCTGGCTCCATCTGATATTTTTCCATAAGCTTCCACTGCTGCAGCCTTCCCCCCCCCGATTTTCTCAGGCATTGAAATTGTGAATTTGGAAGTCCCCTACATAAGAGGAGCCTAAAACTAGCTTTTCATAGGAAAAAATGAAATTTTGTTCTCAGGGTCAGTTCAGTACTGGTCTCCCCCTTCTTCTTGCTATATAATATTGTGTCTTCATCTGCTTCTAGACCTTTAACTGTTCCCAGAGCCTAGTTTAATATGTCTCCATTTTTTCTTAATATTTAAATTATCCTCAAGTTCAAATTCCTTTCTCTATTTACATGTACAGTAATAGTTCTATCACTCAGAAATACACTGCAAACCAGTTTTCTTATTTAGTTGGCCACAATCAGTGGTGATACATAGGGAGTGCATGTGCACCCCCTGACTGGCCATGCTTGCTGCTTAGGCGTGGGCAGGGGGGTCAGGTGGGAGTGCTGGTGCCCCCCCTGCAAGTGCGCCAGCCAGGGAGTGGAGAGGAAGCAGCTGCAGCGGTTGGTAGGATCAGCCACAGGGGGGGGGCCCCCCCCCCCCCGGGACTGGCCCCTGGGGGGGGCATGTGCCCCCTCCCCCCCTAACTAAAGTGGCACCAGTCACCCATGGCCACAATATAAAGATCAAATATGTAATTATGTCAACATTTTGAAAATTCAGATGTCTAAATGTTAAGCACCTACAGCAAATAACTATGTGAAAGCTGTGGAAGCTCAGCACTTCTAAAATTTTAGGCCAGTTTATTCCTATGCTTAAATCTGGTGATGTGATACAAGTTCAAAAAGTTTGGCCCCAATATGGTAGTGGGTAAAGAGGCTTTAGCTAAGTGAAATTATTTAGTTTGCAAAATGTTGTCTATATATTTTTTTTTTTATTTAGATGGAGCAAATTGGTTGACATTTTTCTGCCAGCCAGTTCGGAGCTGGAATGGATTGATTCTACGTAAACCAATAGACATGGAGAAACGGGAGCTCATTCAGAATCAAGAAGCCACTCTGTTGGACTTACGTAGTTACCTGTTTTCTCGACAATGTACGCTGCTAATCTTCTTGCAGAGACCGTGGGAGGTGTCACAGCGAGCGTTGGAGCTTCTTCACAACTGTGTGCAGGAGCTCAAGCTACTTGAAGTGAGTTGATGTAATCCCTTATCTAGTATTTCTTAATTAACGACCAAGAAGTGGTCACAGACAGCACTGCTATTAAACATTGATGGTATAGTACCTAAATTATGCTATAGATAGATGCGCTTTAAATTTATAATATGCTACAGTTCAGATAACTGTGTGATTTAAAAATAAACATGAGTATTGCCCTTTGGAAGATAACTTGGAGCTCATGAAAGGCTTAGTTTTTTGGATGTAGTATGTTGATCATATTGTATTTAAAATGTTTGGGCTTTTATCTGAAAAATGAAGATTACCATGAAATAGGTGAAGTAATTCATCTACTACTCTTTTGAGTTTATTGCAAATGGCTTGATGTGTTGCCAAAACATTAGCTTTGTATGCAATAACCAATATAGAGGTCTCTAGGCATTAAGGTAGGGAAGCCAACATTTTTGTATAGAGCAATTTGCTACAAAATGTAGTTCTGCATGGTAAACAGTTTCTGCACTTGTGCTCTGTTATTGCCAACTTTAGTTGCATTCTTTTTGACCATCTGTTGTTGTTCTTATTCTCTTTCCATTTGGTGCCAAACATTATATTAACCTCCTTTCTTTGGCTGTCTCTATCAACTTGTGGCAACAAGTGCATGTTGAAGCAAGCGACTGCGTATACAGGTGTTCTCCTATTGCAGTTTTTTTTAGAGCAGGTTTTTCTTTGTGCATAAATCTCTCCATTGCAGTATGGTCATCTTGTACCTGGGTGTATAACAAATGACCAAATTCCATTATTAGTAAATTGTCAAACTCAGAGTTTTTAGAAACAGCAATTTATATTATGCTGGGAAAACATCTTCTTGACTCCAGATGATGATTTGTGTAGGTACTGAATGCTGTGAATTTCTTGTTCTTTATTAGTTTTACATGCATTCACTGCAGATACTCGTTTTAGTCTGGGTATGACCGGAAACTGGAGGGCTTAGTAGCAATGTGGTGGGGCTACTTATGGTGGCGTAGGTCCTATAATACCAAAATGTTGCAATCTCTAGAGTAAGGCGAGTATAGGGTGCCCCAAAACCCTAGCCCCCCCCCTCCCCCCACTGCCTTGTAGATACTCTTTGGTTGGAGAAAGCCTAAGAGTTAACATCACCCTGACAAAAACACGCCCTTGCTGAGGTGTTAGGCAGTTGGTAGCAAATCTAATCTGTTGCTCTCTGGCAGAAGCTGCAACCATTGAGGCACTGCACGGTTGAACTTGTTCTGGCCTTTGGATTCTGTCTTGAATGGTATAAAGCGGGGATGGTAGGTCTAGGGTAGCCTTTACTCCTCCATACACACTTGCTTAGGAGTATGTGCTGAAGGTCTTGGTGTGATAGTTGCATACATTGTGATCCAGAGGATCGACGGTTGCCAAGAAGAATCCTTTTAACTGTCTTTTAGATTACTGTGGAAGTAAGTTCCATGACTAAGTTGTAAAGTGCATTATAAATATTCTTTTTCCGGCTTATGTGTTTTGCCTTTCAATTTTGAGTCATGTCATTTGTGTATTTTAATACACAATATTCAGGGGCTCCCAGTACATGTATACCATTTTGGGGTTTTTTTTATACTTTCACGTTTTCTTTCTTCTTTCCAAAGTGTAGAAGTCTATTTTTCTAAGCCTCTGTAAACTGGAGCTACTTCCTACACTGTACATCTCAAATCCCACCCCATGCCACTCTTCCCCTCCTAATTTTTATTGCCCTTCTCTGGAACTTTTCTAGTGCATCTGTATTCGTTTTGAGATGAGGTGATCAAAACTCAATGTGAATGTTCAAGGTGAGGCAGTAACATTGAAGGATGTGCCATACTATTTCTCCTGATTGGTCCTTTTAATATAATGTATCCACCTGTGTGTTTAACAGCCACTGCACATGTAGCAGATATCTAAACTGAGTAATGCGCAGTATTCCTTGTCTTCTGGCTAAAAGTTCATTCTGAATTTGAGTCTTAATATTTTTCCAATATTGTGTACTTGCCTGTCATTTCTTAATACTGTATTTACTTGATTAAATGAGGCATTTCCCCATTTAACACTGCAGGAAGGGAACAAGCCCCTTGCTTTACAAGTTGAGTATGAGGCGGTGGGGGGCAGGCAGTGGCTCCAGCTCTGTCTCCAACCTAGCATTGGGGCTGGAATTGCAGCTGCTGCTGGCCCCCACTACCTCTGCACCCCCTGCCACTCCTCCACCACAGCCTCAAGCCCTCCCTATCCTCAGCCCTCCTCCCTACAGCATTGCTGCTCCTTCCCCTCTGCTGCACTCCTCTTTACCTTTTTAATGTACCCACAGCAGGCTCTGTCCTCACTGCAGTCTGGAGCCCAGAGTGCTTGCTTCAGCCTGGCCTGTAACAGCAGTGCTGGTTCTGCACTGCTACTGTGGGGCAAGTTGGAGCTGTCCCCAGTGCCCCAGGCTGCAGCAGGGATGGAACTTGCCACCATGCAGCAAAGTTAAGGGGGGCCAGGTTGGGGGTGGGTGGGTCTAGACTTGAGGTGGGGGGAGGGGGCGAGGCAGGGACCTGAGCCTGTGGAGGGCAGGCACAATGGGGAGTAAGTTGTTGAGGGGTGGGAACCAAGTAGCAGAGGGCAAGTTGCCTGCCTCTCTCTCTGCCTCTACACTGCCTGCCCACACTGCTTCTCTACTGCTTGCTCCCTACCACCTGTCCCCCCCACTGCCTGTCCTCCCATATGTCCCCCTTACTACTTCTTCCCACTGCCTGCCCTATTACTGCTACCTCATTACCTGTAGTAGTGGAGGGGACAAATTTAAGATGATCCTCCAGTAATTAGATTCCATATATGGCAAATTTATAATAAATTTATAATTTTTCCATATATACAATCTAATTTTGGGGGGGTTATCCTAAATTCAGGGTCGTCTTGTATTCAGGTAAATATGGTAATAGTTTTGTTAAGTCTTTTTTGAGTCACAGTTTTCCCCTATAAGAATAATTTCGTGTTATCAGCAAGTCTTGATAGATCCTTCTTGCGGTGTTCCTGATCTTTGTTAAATACTTTGCTTCTTAGAGTACCCTAACTGCTTTCTCATAAATGGCCTTTCTTTCTTAGACCTTGCTGTTCTAACTAGTTGTCTATGACCTGACTGTACTGGCAGATTAAGTTGTGGTTTGTGTGTTTGTGACAGTTATCAGTAGCCTTTTTGAAAGACCAGTTCTCCCCCCACCACCCCGTCTCATGATGGTTAGTATACTTATACATTTCTTTAGCTAGTTAGGCCTGATATATCCTTTAAGAAGATTGTATTGATTTCAGACTTTTTCTTAACTTTGCTTCCCTCATAAAATCTCTAACTTTGTTTGGAAAAACAATCTTTTTGAAGTTCATTACTAGCACTCTCCATCTCACTCTGGTGAGTCTATTCCTTCTAATTAGAGTGGGCCATATTTTCTTAGTGGCTCATTCTCATTTGCTTCCTGAACTAATTTCTATGTATTATTCAGGAAGGTGTCAAGAGTTGGTCTGTCATTGTGTGTGCTTGGAACAAGTTGTTCTAAGAAGCTCCAGTGTGTAGTCTTGACATTTTTTTTGCCAAACTCTGCCCTGATCAGATCAAACAGTTGTTCATTTCTTCATGAGACTCTTATTCATTTTTAGGTCTCTGTTCCTCCTGGAGCTTTGGATTGCTGGGTATTTTTGAGCTGTTTGGAAGTCCTGCAGAGAATAGAAGGCTGCTGTGATCGGGCTCAGATCGATGCCAATGTGTCCCACACAGTTGGCTTATGGAGCTATGCCACTGAAAAGGTAACCAAGCTATAATGCGTTTCAGGTGAGGGCCTCAATTGCAATGTGCTGTAGCTTGTGCAGTAATGTCCTGGCACAGGTGATCTGCTTCATTGGGTGAAGAGCACATTGCCTGTTTGCCACCTCTCTCCTCCCCATTGACCTTCTGGAATATTGGGTGATGTGTTCCCCACTTCCAGAGATGCTTCCCTGGCAATCTCTGGGAACCTGGGGGCGCATCTCTGGAAGTGAAGAATGTCTGTCAATCTCAGTCCTGAGATGACATTGGAGCAAGTTCAAAACTCTGCCATCCCAAGGCTCAGGCTGCTAACCAGCTGATTGGAGCCCCAAGACGGCATATGTGTTTCAGCTTTTCCTACTTCCAGACATGTGCCCTCAGGTTCTCTGAAGTGCTTGCATCTCAAAGTAGAGAAAGTTGGGGTTCCTTGCCTCCAGAGACATGCACCCAGAATCTCTGCTGTCTCAAAGCAGAGAACCCTGACTTTCCTTGCTTCCAGAAGTGTGCCCCATAGATTGCCAGGTGCATTTCTGTTCAACTTGTTTTATGCATTTAGAAGTGTTTACATCAAGCCTACATTGTTACCCGTACATGATTGATCACGTTTGGTGCCAGGCACCTTTACAATTTGCTGATTTAGTGTACTTTTTTAATTACAGGGTTCCTACATATCTTCCCATGTATGTACCAGGTTTTAGTTGTATTGTTCTACACATTTTTCTTATCTACTATGCCAGGTTATACTGATTCTGTCCATTCCAGGATATTCTTGACCAGACTACAAATCTTCTGATGCACCCTTCTTTCCACAGAATTAAAGACTTGGAGGTTTTAACTCTTACAGCTTTTGGCCTGTTTTACAGCCCATATATCGATTTATTTAAAAATTTCATTTGTTGGTTCAAGCATGCTTTGTTTGAAATCTATTCTGCGTCTGTTGTCTTGAGTCACCTTAACCAACAGTGTATTATACTAGTCGTGAGTATGATTTGAATTTCCATGAAAACCAAACCTAGTGTCCTAACAACTGGGTGGAGGCTTACATTTTCAAAAATATTCTACCAGGGTATGGCAGCATCATTTTGCACACATTCTGCTTGTTCCTTTTTGCATCTGGATGACATTTAGCTTTTGGCAACAGTGTCTCCTACTTCTGTAATTTATCAAAGAGGTTATATCTACATGCATCTCTGACTCTGCCCCATCACAAGGTCTTGGTCTAGATGAATTTGTTGGCTTGGCCAGCTACTCCTGCAGGGTGCTGATGTTGCCACTAGGCCAGAAAATTAGTCCTGATATAAATCACATTGGTTACATGGTTCATAGGCATGTTTCTCTCCCTATGGTGAAGTTGTGGGATTCCAAAGAACATAGTGTCTTTGAGCTGTACCAACTCTTTGACCAGATGTATTTATTCTAGTTGAGCCCAATCTTTTGGCATTACTTTTATCTGGCAGTTCTGCATAACATTCACAAAGCTGGTAATGATGAGCTCTTTTTTCCTTTTTTTTTTCCTTTTGTAAAATGCCTAATTTAATTTTGAGGCTATCTTCAGTGACCAGCTTAACACTTGAGTAATGTTGAACATGTGTTATTGGCTATTATCCCCACACTTTGCATAAAATACCTTTTGGGGTTTTCCTTCCTATTGGGGAGTTCCCAACATTACAGCAGTTGTGGCCTCATCAGGCTGGCTATCAGGTATACTTTCCAGCTTAGCCAATTGTAGATGCTTTCCCTCCAGAAAGGGAAGATGCTTTCCCTCCACTCCTTTTTCTTTGTACTTGCTTAGAAACCCAAGCACTGTTGATTAAGCATGATAGTCATCCTATTTCTGAATCTGATTCCATTATTTAGATGATTAAGTGATTGATTACCATAAATCACACCAGCAATAGCTAAATATACATCATTGTCTTTTATACGGTGTATAATACTATTAATAGTAACAGTGATCCATTTTAAATTACTGGCAATTTAAATATGTATTTCAAATAATAGTGGTGATTTGACTTAATATACTTGTTCATTTTTCCTTGTGTTTTGATGGCCTCATCCAGTCCAGTTGCTAGTTTATTAACCCTTAAGTCTAGACCTTCAATATTCAGAGAGTTCCATACAGACATTCCCAGTCCTGTTCTTCCCATTAGTGTGTGTCTAAAATGTCTCTTTCTTAATTCTGGACAGTTTAAAGGATTTTGCCCAATTATGTCATGCATAAACTTCCATTTTAATTTTCTTTATAGTGCTCTTGATATAGCAAAGGGCTCTGATTGGATAACTCGTACTCAGTAAAATCCATAGCTAATGGAATATACATCTGTCCAACATTTTCATTGGGAGCAGGAAGATCCCACTATTGAGCCATAGTTCTAAGTTGGGTCAGGGACTTTCAGTCTTTTCTTGAATGCTTATAAATTGAAGAGGTGAAATTTAGTTGTTTGAGTAGCTGCAGGGGCAGGGCTTAGTAACTGATCTTTCATATCTTTTAGGAAATAATAACATTCCTGCCCTAGGTTTTCCTTCTGTGGTTCCCACACAGCTAGGTTGGTCTTCTGAGGTTAAACTGCAGATTTTAGTAAGGCATTCCAAGGATTACTACTGTCCATAAGTTATTTGCATTTTCCACTACAAACCTACCGTGGTCTTTGGCGTCATCATCATCATCAATCCTTGACAGTCAAGGATTCCAAAATTGTCTTATCTGTGGTCCAAAGATGGCTGACAAGGCCTATCCTGGATTGACAGACTCTGTTGTAGCTTGGGCATGTGTTTCAGTGCAGGGTAGGTGGCTCTAGGTTCTTGAACTGGCCTGCAGCATGTTGTTTCTGCCACTCCTGTTTTTGTCTCCTGTTGTCATAGTAAGGTTTGAAATTACTGAGATCCTTGCAGCATATTTCCTCCATTTGGAGTGATCCTGGGTGATATTCTCCCACAAGTTGATGTCAATGTTGCATTTTTTTTCAAGTTGGCCTTGAGGACATCCTTGAAGTGCTTTCTCTGCCCTTCTCGACTGAGCTGGGAGAATAAAACTTGCTTTGGGAGTCTGGAGTCAGACATGCAGAGGACATTGCTGACCCAGTGAAGTTGATATCAGATGAACGATCATCTCAATGCTTGTGGTGTTTGCTTGTGAGAGGATGCTAACATTGGTGTGTCTGTCTTCCCACTGGATTTGAAGGATCTTCTGCAGGCAGTGTTGATGGTACTTTTCCAGTGGCTTGAGATGTCTCCTGTACATTGTCCATCTCTCAATTCTGTACAGTAACGTGGATAACGACTGCTTGATAAACCATGAGCTTGGTTTTGGATTTAATGTTGCGATCGACTGCACTTGCACATTTGAGACAATAGTGGATTTCTTCATCGATCTTTGCCTTCTGCAAGAGATGGCTTATGAACCATGGGAAATGCTCAGCATTCTCTAGAGTCTCACCATGAACCTGAATTACTGGAATTGGAGTCTGCTTATTAAGAGCTTGTTGATGGAGGACCTTAGTCTTCTAAATGTTAAGTGTCGCTTTCATTTTCTTGGATGCCTCAGTAAAGACATCAGCTGCCTGAAGGTCTGCTTCTGAATGAGTGCACGTTACAGCATCATCAGCTTGCTGGAGCTTGATGATTGAGTTTAGGATGGTCTTGGTTTTGGCTTGGAGTTGGCTGAGATTAAACAGTTTACCATCCATTCGATAGTTTAGCTCCACCCCGACTGAAACTTTGTTGGTGATCATATGTAGCATCACAATAAGGAATATCAAGAAGAGTGTTGGAGTGATGACACAGCCTTGTTTAACTCCTATCTTAATAACAGATCTACCACAGATCCCTTTGAGGTTGAGAACCACCGCTCATGTACCATTATGGAACAAGCAAAGAATGGTGACTAATTTTAGTGGGCATCCATACTTCAGAAGGATCCTCCACAGCGCTTCTCAGTTAACAGTCGAAGGCTTTTGTGAGGTCAGAAAACCATGTAGAGAGGTTTATGTTGTTCCCGACTGCTATTCCTTGATGTATTAGCATAATCATTTGGTTGGTGCATCCAATTGACTTGCTTATCTGGGTGGGGGTGGGGGGGGTGTAACGTATGTAAATATCTAAAAATCATATATATATCTATATATAGATAAGGAAGTCAATTAGATGCACCAACCAGATGATAATGCTAATGCATCAAGGAAATATTGCATTAAAAATGTTGTTATGCTTGTATCAAAATTATACTGGCTATACATAATGTTATTTGTTCACTCACCAATCCATATGCTACTTCTAGGCTGTTTGGGGCTGTCTCTGGATCTGTTCACGACATTCTTGTTCCCTTGTTTTCCTCAGTCTCCCCAGGGCTTGCTAATGACACTTTATTGGTGTGTAGGAGTTTTAATCGAGTGCCTTCAGCACAGCCTTGGTCTGAAAGCAAGTTCACTTGCCAACAACCAGAGCTGACCCGAGCAGGGTGTGGGGCCCAGGGCAAATCAGCTCATGTGGGGCCCTGCCCCCTCTCCAATCCCATGTGTCCTGAACCCAAACAAGCTGCTGCCACCACCACCTGTTGCGGTGGCAGGGGGAGAGGGGGTAGCAAGCACCTGGATGCAAAGCTGGTGGCGGCAGTGCAGAGCCACCACAGCTGCTCTGCCCAGCTCCACAGGGCTCCCCAAAGCACAGGGCCCAGGGCAGTCACCCTGATTCGCGCCCCCCCCTCCCCCCAGGGACGGCCCTGGTCTGGTTTGTGACTGCTGTGATTTTTGTTGTTCAGTTTAGATCAAATATGGTAATGGAGTCCGTGTTTAGAATTTGCCTAGTAAACTCCGTCAAGTAAATTCACTACTTCATTTGAAAGAATGGATACAAATACTAGCTTTAGGGTTATGTGCCACTTCCAGAAACATTCCATTTCCTGCAAAACAAGGGGAAGAAAAACAATTGCTTCTCTTATTTACTTTATGAGCTTTAATTTTACTGGTATGAACTTACTGTTGTCCTTTCAAGTCTAGTCAGTATACAGCAGGATCTAATTTATTCATGGCTACATGTTAGCCATGCCATGTGGCTCTGGGGAAAGCATGTTAAGGGACTGCGTTTTGCATTATTATTTGTTCTGGTACTTTCTAACATCCCCTTTACTTTCATATCGTTTGATATTATTTTTCTTAATAGTGGGTCACTTTTGCTTTCAGGACTTGTGGGAGGTGTTGATTGGATGTTTGAACTATGCCTCAGCGGGCCAGACATTTCATGGCACAGAGTTGGTTACTGAGGCCAAGAGTTCATTCCAGTTGGTTTCTTGTGAAGTTCACAACCTTTTTCAGCTCTGGCTTTTTGGGGTTTGTTTCATCCTTTCTGCTTGGTCTGAGGCTTGAGGGTGGTAGACAGTGTGAAGCCTTTGATTACTTCCCAGCACCTTTCATATTTCCCTAACCACATTTCATAGCATCATAGAAAGTTAGGGTTGGAAGGGACCTCAGGAGGTCATCTAGTCCAACGCCCTGCTCAGAGCAGTATCATCCCCAACTAGATCATCCCAGCCAAAGCTTTGTCTAGCCGGGTCTTGAAAATCTTCAAGGATGGAGCTTCCACCACCACCACCTCTGAGTAACCTGGTGGAGTGTTTTACTACTCTCCTAGTGATAAAGTTTATCTTAATATCTAACCTAAACTTCCCTTGCTGCAACTTGAGACCATTGCTTCTTGTTCTGTCATCTGCCACCACTGAGAACAGTCTAGCTCCATCCTCCTTAACACCTCCCTTCAGGTAAACGAAGGCTGCTGTTAAATCCCTCCTCAGTCTCCTCTTCTCTAGACTAAATAAGGCCAGTTCCTTCAGCCTGTCCTCGTAAGTCATGTGCCCCAGCCCCCTCACCATTTTTGTTGCCCTCCGCTGCACACTCTCAATTTCTCCACATCCTTTCTGTAGTGGGGGGCCCAAAACTGAACACACTACTCCAGATGTGGCCTCACCAGTGCTGAATAGAGGGAAATAATCACTTTCCTTGACCTACTGGCAACATGCCTACCCATGCAGCCCAGTATGCCATTAACCTTCTTGGCAACAAGGGCACACTGTTGTCTCATACTTAGCTTATTGTGCACTGTAACCCCCAGGTCCTTTTCTGCAGAGCTACTGCCCAGCCAGTCAGTCCCCAGCCTGTACTGGTGCATGGGATTGTTCCATCCCAAGTGCAGGACTTTGCACTTGTCCTTGTTGGGCCTCATGAGGTTTCTTTTGGTCCAATCCTTCGGTTTGTCTAGGTCACTCTGAATTCTAGCCCTACCCTCCAGCATATCTACTACTCCCCCCAGCTTGGTGTCATCTGCAAAACTACAACATTTCCTACAAAACTGCTTCCCTTGTTAGAATCAGTGATTGTAGGTATTTCCCATCTACTGAATACATGAAACACAAGATTGTGAGCTGTCATTAATGCTGTGTAGTTTTCTAGTTGGGAATGTGCCTGCCTGAAAAACAGTCCATAGATAAGAAGTTTCAGATGCAATGGAAAGAAGCTACAACAGTTTTGCTGAAAGTATGGAAGATTTTTGAAAGGCCTTGAAAATATTTAGTTCTGCTTATATTTTTGTATAATACATTTTCACTTTTCTTTCTTATTTATTTTGCTTTTGGTTTGCTTCTATGCTAGCAGTCCTAAGTACTTTTAATCAAAATTAGGACATAACTATTCTAAATGATGCTCAAACATAGGAAGAGTTTGTTCTAAAGGACCTACAGCTGCCACCACCAAATACGATCAGGTAAAGGGAAAAACCTAAACAATGTGATCAGGTTGTTGGTGACGAAATATCATGCCATTCCTGTTGCCTGTTTTTAGAACTTGCCCTCTCAAATTTGACAAAGATGTATAGCAGGGAGGAGAGAGTGATAAGAAGCCTAGTGGGCATAAGAAAGAGAAGGGAGGGAGGAGGTCAAGGGGAAATAGCAGTAATAACAAAACAGCAAACTAGATGTGACTAAAGATGGCTAGATCATAATGTGGGGTGGATTAAGACCAGTGATGAGATCCTGTTATAAAAATGTTGGTTAACTTGGTGATAATTGATAACATCATAGTTATTCTGAAATAATGTGTGGCTTGCTAATTCTTTAGGTCACATAATGATCAGTCAGACTGAGCTGCAGTCAAACAGCATCTGAGATCCAAAATGCAGCAAATATCCCAAATCCAGTCTAGTAATGAATGCATGATGTTAAAGACAGCCCTCCTGATCATGTCAGCGTTTCAGAGTTTTCAGCTGGTAGAGCAGTGTTTTATCTACGAAGCGTTCTTTATAGGTGCTCTTTGTACAAAAGTGTTTTTAAAAAAATGGTGTTCTTTAAAACTCAGAATTTTTATATGAATATGTTAGTAGACATTTTTTGTTTTTAAAAAATAGCTTGTATATTAATGTAACTTGAGATGCTGTCACATAAGCATTCTTGCAGCTGTCACACTTTTAATTTTTCAAGGAAGTTATTCCATGTCTTTTAGCAGTTTCTCTTGTCTGTCCCTGGAGGCAGTTTTAATGCGAATTTTACAAGCACTGTGCTACGACAACAAGTGCTTTTCAAGTTAAATGTCTTGTATTGATCTTTTGTGAATCATGTGGTGAAATAAAGTAGTTAGCAAGGCTTTTAATATTGATTTTTATAACTTGCTGAAAAGCACATTACTGGCTTGTGTTTATTTCCGTAGCTGAAGTCCCTGGGTTACTTATGTGGACTTGTATCAGAAAAGGGACCCAATTCAGAGGACCTTAACAGAACAGTTGATCTGTTAGCAGGGTTGGGAGCAGAACGCCCTGAAACAGGTACTATTAAAATTTTACATATTTTATGTAATAGCTTGCCATGATTATATATACAGTGGCTTCTGTGTTTTGATCAGTAGGTGGGGAAAGTGTTCAGCAAGGGGGGAGAGTGTATGTATTTGTCTGTCTGTGTTCATATACATGCAGTGGATACCGAGAAGAGGAAAAAATGTAGGATCATCATTCAGTGGCATAATAAGTATTTTAAGTACTTAAAATGGTAAACAAAAAAAAAAAGTAATTTCCCCTTGATGCCAAGTATAGATTTTTCAGCATGCACTCCATCAGTACTATGAGGTACCCAGCGATCACCCTCTAAGTTTTTGAGTAATAGTTGTTCATGGTTCCTAAGACAAGCTGAGAATGAAACCGTCTCATCTGAAAAAATATATATGACATGTTACAAGGTCTATATAGTGACATAGTCAGTACAGGCAGGCCAAGACTTTTTGTGTCAGAGGTGTTTATTCATTTAAAAAAAAAAAAGAAAAGAGAGAATACCATAGGTTGAACATTCTAGAATAGGGGTGAGCAATGTTTTTGAGCAGAATGCCAGAAATCCCAACCTTAAATTGGAAGATGTTGGTGTGCCGGGGGTGGATGGCAGGGGAGTTGCAAGGGACCTGATCCTTGTTGTGGCAGCGCAGACATGGCCTCTTCCCTGCTATCCACCCCAAGAGGCACATGCCAAGCAAAATGCCTTCATGTGCCACACTCTGCCAGGGGTTGCCGACCCCTATTCTAGAACAATTTGTGTATTTGAATGTTTAAGGGTAGGCTGAGACTTGATCCTACTTTTCAGTTATGATTGTATATGGAAAGGAATCCACAGATGGGACATCTACTTGCATGTTCATTTCAAAGCAGGTTTTTTTTCCCCCTCCTTCTCTATTTTTCACTTGCTCATTTTAGCACGTACTTGCGCTGATATGAAGGAGCTTCTTCAAAAAAAAAAGTTGCAAAATTGCAAGCTTCTTTTCAATATAGTGCGATACTTCACACAGTGTATTACTTCATTCAGATGACCTTAGTAGAGTACAATAAATTTCCTTGACACCGTATAAATCCCTTAGTGGGGAAGCTTGACAAATAGCAACTTTGCCAAGAGCTCTGGGAATGCTAAATACTATCATGGTTGTGCCCGCTGATTGCAATAGTGCATGTTTAAAAAATAGTGTTATATTGGAAAGCCTGCATAGCTGCTGTAAGCCATTTGAATTTATAAAGGATCACGCATAGCATTCAGTAAAGCAGATTGTTATAAAATCCCTTAAGAACAGTTTCAAATATCTGAAGCACAATTTACAGGATGGAGATTGACTTTTCCTTGTAGCTATAGGGGAGAGGACTAGGAGCAATGGCTTGACTGCAGCAGAAGAAATTTAGCTTGGCAGTTAGGAAGAACTTGGAGTGTGAGGATGGTTAACTGGAGCAGGCTATCTAGAGAGGCTGGGGAATCTCCATTCCTGGAAATTTTAGGAACAGATTAGAAAAGACACTTGACTAGGTTCCTGTAGTCAGGGATGATTGTGCCATGAGGCCAGATTAGATGACCCCTTCAACCTCCTTTCCTATGATCCTACACCATGTTAATTGGGCCTTTCTTCATCTTGACTTAGAATTTTAAATAAAATTACATGACCACATTTGAACTTTTTAAATGTAGCACATCAAATCATTTTTAAATTGTTCTCTCCACTGCAGATTTTAGTGTGGGTAAGTAAATATTTGTCTTGTTTTGTTTCTTTCAAGCTAACACAGCCCAGAGCCCTTATAAGAAACTCAAGGAGGCCTTATCATCTGTAGAAACTTTTGAAAAACACTATTTAGTAAGTATGGTGCTCTGGTTGTTTACATTGTAGATCAAGAAGAGTATCATATAATCAACAAATAATGTGTAGAAAAAGAATATATTATGTATATTCAGAGTGTTTGAAGCCAATATTTTGAATCCCAGGTACATAGTGGTAATCTTTAATTTTGTCATGTTAAGTAAGTAATCTGACTTTCAGATATGAGCACCCTTATTTGATGATGCCCCATATAAAATTAGGTGCACAAGCTTAATTTGCATGCCTGTTACCGTAGGGCGAGATAGACATGTGCATCTTTAGCATTTATGCATATATAACTGTTCTTTTCAGAAACCATACATTTAAGAGTCTGGGAGCTGAATTTTTTCAGGAAATGCATACAGCTCATTAGGGCACTTTTAGTCCTAGATTCTTCAGTGAAATTATTTCCATGAGTGGATAGTTCAAGGTAAAATCCTAGTTGAGCTGATGACTCAGTGACATGTTTCTGATTGAAAGATAAAGATTTGTGTATCAGATAACCATAACTTGTTGGTTCATGCCATAGCATCTCTGCTTTTATTAGTAGGGTTGCAGTGTTGTTGTAGCCACGATGGTCTAGGAAATGTATGAGGGAAGGGTTTTTATTTATTTATTATTCATTATAAGGTATTCAATAAAAGATGCCACAAAAGATCCTTGCCGTTCTTTTATTGTGAAGCCACGGTAACTTTTATTCATGTAAGATAATTTTGTATGAAAAGCTCCCAATCTGAAGGCCATTGACTACAGTAGAAATGTAGCTAGTGAAACTGGCTACATGCAAAGTGTTGTCAGATGTTTAAAAAAATGAAAGAATAGAGGTATTTCTGGTTTCATAAGTTAAGTAAGTTTTCCCAGGAAACTTGCATTTTAATCTGATGTGATCTCAAATCAAATAGCATGATTAAGTTTTTGTGGCATTTCCTCTGTATACCATGATATACTTTGCAACTACAAAAAATTGCACAAAATGTAGTGATTTTGTTAAACTTTAAACTGTGTATTAGGATTCTCAGAAATACTTCTTATTTTGCACTTACTCTTTCTTTTACCTTTTAAACAGGATCTGTCCCATGCCACCATTGAAATGTATACAAATATTGGAAGGATTCGTTCAGCTAAACTTGTTGGAAAGGACTTGGCAGAATTTTATATGTAAGTAAATCTCTAAAATGTCTTGTCTTTTCTATAAAACAAATCAAGCCTTTTTAATACTGAAAAGCTTGGGTTGTAAGAGAGAGAAGAATTCTGAAAAGAATTTTAAAAAATACATAATTTGTGCTAAGTGTTTTTAAGTCTTGGGTTCTCCTTTCAGCAATAAATAAAAAAAATACAGTTAATGATACACTAATTACTTATTTATTCCAAGCCATAATATACTCCAAGAGTAATTAAATCACCCAACCCACCTTGTCTTCACCCTTTTACTTTGCCAGTAGCCTAGGGTGAAAAATCCTCCCATGGTCCATTAGGGAACGGAGGGGAGCTAGTTCAGGACCCTGCAAAGTAAATAAATTCAGAGCTTTCTTTATAGCTACTTATTTAGGTTGTAAAAAACATAATGCTTTTGGAGCCCATATCAGGGGTTACGAGAACACTGGATAGGTGACATTCCTTATTTGGATAAGTACTCTGTGCTTAATAAGTAATTGGCCTTCCTTTTTTTTTTTTTTTTTTTTTTTTTTAAATGGGGCTGATAACCTTTGTATCTCTTGAACCTAAGTTAGTTTCTTTTCTAACGTAATCTCAGGCATATAACATTTATTTATTTTAGCTATTAATACGAATTGCAGTATGCAGATAAACCAATGCCTTGAGTAAACTTTACATTGAAGGTAAAGGAAATGCAATAGACAGCTGTTTCCTTGCTTCGAATTCAACTTAGAACATCTGTGAGCTGTTAGCCAGTGGTTGCATTGGATTTCTGTTTGCAGATGCAATTTAAGATGCATCTTTTGATCTATATAACAATTTTTGGTTTGGGTCCTGTCTACCTTGGAAACTACCTTTTTAAAGCAGACATGGCAATACAGCTGAGTTCAGCTGAAGAGATTTCATTAATGGTTCCCAGGTTTATATTTCAGGAGGCTGAAGCGGGTAGTGGGGGGTTTGGGTTTTTTTTTTCCCCATTTGGGTTCTTGTACGCTGGAACTTGTTCTCCATGGAAATCCACCAGAGCCAATCTGACCTAGCTATAAAGTGAGGCTGAGCAAGTCACTCCGGGTTTTTGCCTAAAGGTAATAGGGGAAACTAAGGGATAATATGGAACTATTTTGCAATTATAATTGATATTCTCTCTCAAGTATTTCAGTTTTGGTGTTCTTAAAGTTTGTTGAATGAGCACATTTTTAATAAAATGCAAGAAATTTGAAACAAGGCTGCATCGCATGACATTGGGGAGAGGGGAACCTTGTTTTGTCTTGTTATGCTGAAGGCAGATTTGAGTATACGGCCTTTTGTAGGCATAGTATCAGTAGCGTAACAAAGGGTGGGTGAAATGGGCACCAGTCCTAGGTACCCATTTAAAGGGGGTGGCAGAAGAGCAGCTCCTGGGGTGTCTCATGGTGCTGCAGCAGCTCCATAAAGCAACTGTAGCAGCAGCTGCCAGGTGTGGGGACTTCATGCCACTGCTGTAGCAGCAAAACAGGCAAGAGTGGGCAGACTCCTCCATGCCAGTTGTATCCATTAACTTTGAGGGCTGCCTCCCCTCCCTCTCCCCCCCCATCTCCTCTTTCCACGTAGCATTTTGTCCATGGCACAAAAGTTGCTAATGACACCTCTGCATTGTCTAATATTGCTAACTACAGCTCTCTTCGCTTGGGTGAATTGTATAAATGACTACTGTGTGTGTGTGTGTAATAGATATGTCCATCGATAGATAAATATTGGTTATTTGGGGGGAGTGTACATACACTTTGCAATAATAAGTGTGTGTGTGTATTATACTACTGATACTATGCCTACAGAAGGCCCTATACTCAAATCTGCTTTCAATGTAACATTACAAGACAAGGTTCTCCTCTCTCTAATGTTGTGCGATGTAACTTTGTCTCAATTTCTTGTTTTATTAAATGTGCTCGTTCAAGTTTTAAGAACACCAAAACTAAAATACTGGAGAGAAAATATTATTTAATTGCAAAATATTTCTGTATTCTCTTAGTTTCCCCTATTGCCTTTAGACAAAAACCTGAGTCATATATGTATGTGTGTATACAGCCCCCCACCAATAATGGCATATTATCCACAAAACTAATGACATGATTATTCCTAGCAGTATGATCTGTAAAGTGCATGTGGCAGTACTTAGTTAGAGAAAAATGGCTACTTTTGTTAATTTGCTAGCATTTGCTTTTTAAAAAGCATGTGTTAGGTTTTGTGGGTATGGTCAATTAGTTGCACTAGATCATTTGTAAACCATTTTTTTTTCCCCTGTATTTTCTGAGGAGGAAGAAAGGCCCACAGAAGGCAGAAGTCTATCTTCAAGGAGCTTTGAAAACTTACCTTGCTGAGGGCTGGGCATTGCTTATAACGCATACAAGAAAGCAGTTGGCAGAATGTCAGAAACACCTTGGGCAAATTGAAAAGTATCCTCTGTCAGCCAAACCTGAAAAACTCATTGGAGCGAGATTGATAACCTATTTTCTAGGTTAATTTTCAGTTCAGTTTTAGGATGGAGACTAATCCATAGGCAGTGAGATGCAACCATTAGAGATTTCTACAATCCATTCTTTCTTTAAAACCTCTTTTATGGGTTTTAGTTGACCTGTTCTCCACTTAAATGCCTGAGTCTTTGAAAAAGAACTGACAAAGCAGAGATAATATGAAGCATTTTATTAGTGTAAAAACTGTAAAAATGTAATGGTCTTTTCTGTTTATACCTGTGGAAAGGATATTCCAGCCCTATGGGCACTTATACACATACCATTTTGTCCTGTGATGCACCAGAGTTCAGAATCAATTAATCAAGTCTGCTCCACATGTAAGCTGTGTACATTGTGCCGCAGTGTGTAGTTGTATAAGTGGTGAAATGCGCATCAGCATGCAGAAAATGACAGTGGTGCACTTTTGATCTAAAGCACTTCCAATGTGTTTTAGTTCAAAAGTGTGCCACCGCCATTTTCTTGGCACTGATACACATTTCGCTACTTATACAACTGTATGTGCTGCAGTACTGGACGCTTTTAAAAGCACCCGGTGGTGTGGCACAAACGTGTACAAATGCCCTATGTTGCTTACTTTTTTTGAGCCAGTAAATGTTGTGTTAGATATGCTTACTGCATATAAATGTACACAGTCTGGGTTTAGTGGGTTGTCCTCCTACAGTGGCCCCTTCCTGCATCTAATCTACCATATGTTTTGCTAAGATGCAGTATATAGCATGTTGTCTTGTGTTTAAACCTGAACGTGAGAATTTAAGACCTTTACTTTATTCCTAGCTTTGCCTTTGTGTGCTGTTTGACAAATGGTATAAAAGCTCTTTGCCTCAGATTTCTAATTTGACCAAGATCCTCAGATAAAAGGTGCTATATAAATGCAATGAATTTATTGCAAGGTACTGTGATGTCTGGTAGAGAAAGCAGAGCGATCTTTGAAGTTTGGACAAAGCTTTTTTTTTTTTTTGATCTTATCACTTCATGAATTTTTTTTTTTTTTTTTATTCCTTTCCTACAATTAAACCTCAGGTAGCCAAATCTTAATCTAGTTCATGTTTTGTTAATGTTTCATAGTTGTGAGCAAAAACAAGTTCCTTTCGAGAGCAGGATGGTTTCTTCTTTAAACTCTCTGGCTTCACAGTGCCATGAAGTACTTCCCTATCTGTGATAACTAAGGTTACAGATCAGGTTATTAACAGAACAAGTAGATTTTAAATGGCTTTTGTTGTGCTAACACAGTATGTTCCTGTGTAGCCTAATGAGTAGACCTGAGAGTAATGTCACTTTAATTTGATATGTATATCATAATCCATAGCTTAAATTATTTTGATCTAAAATAATACATATATATTTTAGATTTCAGCTATGGTTTATGATCATATTGTATCAGCATTTACAATCACAACTGAATAGGTTAATTCAGTTAGCTATCTATAGTCACTTACTGAAATGGGGTGCAACTTAATCTCTTTAACAGTACCTGTGAATTAAAAATGTAGTCATCTTGTAGATATTGAGGAGTTTGGTAGTGCTGGTATGTGAACATTTTATGCAAGGCTATCCTCATACAACCTGCAGAAATGAGTGCAGCATTTTTAAGTCTCCTCTGGATAATGGTTTTTTTTTTAAGTACTTAGTTACTGAAGTTGCTTCTGAAAATAAGACCTAGAAGCTGATGTTAAGGCTCAGGTTATTTTTTCAGTTAGACTTAGTGCTAAAGTGAATAAGCCTCCAAATCATGTTAGTGCTTTTGAAAAACTCTACTCTGTTTCAAAGCATACTTTTATGAAAAATGCTTCTTAACCAGTAACAATGCAGTCTTGGTAAACAGTGGAGAAAGTTTTATATCCATAGAAGCCCAGGAGAAATATATCTATATCTGTAACTAGTTGTATATAGATACAGACGTACATAATTTAGGTATGGTAAATGCTGCTGTTAGAGCTGGCAGATAACCAGATCTGTGAAGGCTGGAGTTCTGTGCACCAAATGTGTAGTGCATACCAATAAATTAGATTGTAATAAAATGCTAGAGTTTTATTTTAAATAGTGGGTAATGTAATGCATCACTGTTTTGGTCATTCAGGCTTTTTTTTCCTGTGGTTAGTTTAAAAAGATTTTTTTTCTACTTAGTAATAGGTTTTTATGAGACAGGCTGGCATTTTTTATGTAGCAAAATGTAGATTAAATATGAAGGATAATGAAAAGAACACTTTTATTAAATGATCTTCAGTCAAATTAAAAGATGTTTCTGTAATAGGCTTCAGTGATAGTAAACCTTTTACTGTTTTCATTTCTAGCAGGACTTTTGGTTAATAGTGAAACAGCTCTACAGTTTAGAAAAGCAATTGCAGATCTCTCTTTCCACTAAAATATTTGTTAAATATACTGATGTTTCCTCACATTTCCTTAACTTGACGTGTCAGCTATCTTCAAACAAGTAGCCTTTTAGCTGCTGATAATCACTTAACAGAAGATGAACGTACACACTTCTGCCAAGAAATACTGAATTTTGCCAATCAACAGACAGAGGGCCAAGGTGAGACTGGTTTTAAATACTTGACCATAAAACTTCAGCTCCAGTATGTGTCTCTTTTCTTCCACCCCTCAAAAGAAAGGGTTTTTGTGATCATAGCTTATTTCTTGCTCCATATGTAGCTTCTGGACTAACATTACAGCATTTCTTACTACAGTAATCAAGTATTATTTAATTTACTTTGGCTCACCAGAGAACCTTGTTCCATTTCTTCCATGGGATCCAGAAAAGATTTCAAGGGTGGTTGGGGTGTCTGGCTGCAGTGCTTCCCCCATACTGTCCTGTACCTATATCTGCCCTGTCGTATCTGGTAACTGATTTACAGTGGGGGAGCAGTTCTGGGAATGGTAGCTGTGGCAGAACCTTGCTGGGTAGGTGGGACAGAGTCTTTGCTACAACCCGCATCATGGCTATATTTAATGGCAACTTTGCCGATATTGAAGTATTGGCTGACTGGAGGTTGCTGGTAATTTAAGAACTCCCTTTTTCCCCATACTTTTTTGCCTCTTGGTGTCTATGCAGCATCTCTGTTCTTGTCTATGGCTTGTTATATTGATATTTTCTCACTCTTTCATGTAGTCCTATAGTTTTCAGCTCGTCTCAGTATAGTCATATTTTTGCAAAAGTATACCCTCATCCCAAGAAAAAGGTAGAGAGTAATGTTTAACTTTCTGATGACATTAGTTCCAGTTGCTTTAAAGCTGGCTACTTTTATCTTTGGTTATGAAATAGTTCTGAATATGAATAGTGTTACCAGTTGGAACCATGTTGTAATTGCAGGCAAACCGAAAGGTTCTTGGATCTTCATCATTTTGCTCCTGGAGTTGTTGAAGTGCTACTTGTATATGGCATAGAAATAAATGAGTATACTCCCAGTTCTGTGGGGTTTTGCAACTTCTAAAGTAGACTAATTTTTTGGGTCCTCAACATGAGCTTCTGTGGTGATAAGCATATTTCTGAGAGGGGGACAGTGATAAATAACTCTTTTATACTATAATACTGTATTCTATTCCTAGCTTTTGATGTTTTGTAAACTGTTATTAAAGAATTTAGTGAATTTTCTTAGGTTTTCTGTTTTAGCTTTCTAATCTTTCTCTGTAGGTTCTGGTTTGCCCACCAGAAATAGACTCACGAGTCTAATAAATACTATTTTTAACAATACTGGAGGATAATAAGCTAACTAACCTGTCTGAATACAAGAAAGTGTCTGCTGTCTTCTACCATCTACTGCCTCTGTTAGGGCAACAGTTGTTCATTCTTTCCTGACTTGTTTGCACTGCTTGATTTGCCTGTCTAACTTTTCATCCCACTGGCTGTAGCTCCACATACAGTTCCCCCTTTTCCCATGGGGGAAAAGATCCCAACAGATCTTGTCCCACTTAGTGGAGGGAAATTATAAGCATTTGTATCAATTTTGGCACGGGGGCATTTTTTAAATTTCTAAATTTAAAAAAAGTAAATGGAACATCATCAATGGCAGAGTAGAATAAAATACCTGTTTTTCTGTATTTCCAGGTGAAAAGGTTATATTGTCTATGCATTCCTTTGCACAGTTGAAAACTCTACACTTTGACCCGCCAAATGCTGTGGTCCATGTGGGCGGAACATTATCTGTTGAGCTGACTTTGTTGAGCCAAATGCCCATCCCAGTCCAAGTGGATCAGATTGCTATCAATGTTCACTTCAGCATTGAGAAAAATAGCTACCGGAAAACGGCTGAATGGCTCACCAAGCACAAAACGTCCAATGGTATTATCAGCTTCTCAAATGAGGTTGTAGGCTTTCCTTTGTCAAGAAATAACTTACCAGCATTGGAATTATATGAAATGTATGAAAGGAGCCCCTCAGATAACTCTTTGAACACAACGGGAATCATCTGCAAAAATGTGCACATGCTACTAAGAAGGCAAGAGAGCAGCTCATCTCTGGAAATGTCCTCAGGAGTGACCCTGGAGGATGGGGCTCACATGTTAAAATGTAGCAATTTAATACTGGAACCAGGGATCAATAGAATAACATTCAGAACTCAGGTATGTTTTTACAGTTGAGTGAATATAACACTCATGAAAGAAGAAATAAAAGTACTGTCTAGAAAAGGGCATAGTATTGGACAAGTAGTATCAGTATTGCATCTCTGCTGCAGCTTTACTGATGCAGCTCAACATCATCTTCCAGCCTTCATTCCTGTTTTTCTAGACTGAAGAGAAGATAATTGCCAAAAATGGGTAACTTGAAGGAGTGCACGTGGGAGCTAAAAGTGAGCCCGTCAAATTCATGTTATTGTTTATCTGGTTATTGCTTCCATGAAAATAAAACCAGCAACTAGCATTCAGACGAATATTGCATCTCTCTCCCAACTGCAATGTTCATTGTCAAGCATAATCCTTAAAAGTAAGGTCATCTGGTTTCATAGTTAGCTTTCCTGGAAAGTTTTGGGAGAGGGGGACATTTTTTGTAATGTAATCCTCCTGTGGGTAATCTCTGTAGCATCTGCTAGACTTAACTGGAGCAAATAAATATTTGTTATTGGTTGCTTCATTCCAGAGTTTGATGAGATTTTGTTGATTTTAGTAGCTATAGCAAACCTATTGCATAACAAACTAAAAAATATAAATAAATACCTTTGCAAAGTTAAGCATTTGACACTGGAAAATGCCAGAACTGAAATTGTCTTTGCAACTTTGGTCATTACAATAGCCTTTAATTACATTACAGGCAACCCCTGCTTAGCGTGGTTTCACTTAGCGCTATTTCGCTGTAGTGCTCATTTAAAATTAATACCTAATTTCACTTAGCGCTGAGTCAGTTTTGCTATAGCGCTCAGCAAAGCAGCAGTGGCAGCAAGAAACGGTGAGTGACAGTGAGTGGGTGGGCTCCAGCAGGGGCAGGGGGTGTGGGGAGAAGCGGGGGCGGCAAGAAGCAGCAAGTTGGGGGGGGAGGGGGCAGGCATGAGTGCAGGGCCCCTGCCAGAATGCCGGAGCCAGCAGGAGTGTGGGCTGTGGGCTAGCACATGGGGCCAGAGAAGTGGTGGCGGCAGGGAGAAGCAGTGAGTGAGGGTCTCTGTGGTGCCGGAGCTGGCAGGAACGCGGGCCGTGGGCTGCCACATGGAGCAGCCAGCAGGCAGGCAAAGGGGTGGGGAGAGGCGGCGGCAATAGTAAGAAGCAGTAGTCACCAGTTATTTTTATTTACATTAATGCCTATGGGAAAAGAGTTTCGCTTAACACGGTTCCGCTTAACGCTCGGTTTTCCCGGAACCAATTAAGAGCGTTAAGTGGGGGTTGCCTGTATTGTATACCGTTTTTTTTTTCTCACAGGACCCTGGCTTATTCCATGCAGAAGATACAAGGTGTGTAGTGAATTAGGCAGGGAGCTGCAAGAAGAGAAATAATGCTGTTAAGACAAATGGGTGCCTACCTAGGAGAATGGGGTTGTATTTCTGGCTCTGCTGCTGTTTTATGTGCTTGTGGCTTTGATGGTGGGAAGTTGTTTACGCCAGAATGATTACATGAGGTTGCTTATTACGTGTGCTTTATTTTGGGGTGCCCCACTTGACTAATTGGGCCTGACTTTCAGACATTCAAAGCACTTGACCTCCAATTCTATGTGCAGTTATAAGTGCCTTTGTAGTGGAAACGTGCCTTGTAGCAGTAAGGCACTGTGGACCCATGGGATAACCATATGAGGACCGAAAGTGCTGCCCATTCGTCTAAAAATCTGTTCATAAAGCAGGTGTGATAACTTATACACGCTTCTGAGGGGATGTGGATTGGGAGAAGTAATTGCACAGTGTTTTAAACATTTTAAAATACTTGTACAAAATGCTAGGTATTCTGAAAAATAGGCTTCTCCATTTTGGGCACCCAGTGCATGGACTCTTGCAAATGTTTAGCTTTAATCACCTTGGCTGGATCCAGACATGCAGGCAAACCTCTTTGTAACACCACAAACCGCCCGAGTTGCATGTTAATTAATGCACCACTAACTTGTAGCACAGAGCCAAAGTTTGCTACTAGGATTTTCTGATAGCAAAAAAAAAAGCCCTGGGGGAAAAAAGCGGCGCAACCCCCACCAAAGTGGCAAGCACTGGGACAAATGGGAGAGCAGGCAGCCCAGGGCTGCCTGCTCTCCCATCTCCCTGTACTGTGGAGCCCCCATGTGGAGTTACTCTGTGCCCCAGCCAGCTGCTCTCTGGCCGGCTGGGGTACGGGGTGCCTCAAGAGGGGAAGTAGGCAGCCCTGGGCTGGCTGCTTCTCTGTCTCTGTGTGCCTCAGCACAGACAAGACGGAAACAGGCTGCACTGGGGCACAAAGTAGTGGGACAAATTTGTGCTGCTGCTTTTTGTGTTCATACCCCTGCCCCTTGTGTGTTTCAGTACAAACAAAAACCCTCCAAGTACTCCATACCTGCTTAGAGAGGTGTCCTTGTTAATGTTGGTTAGAGTAACTTCCAAACTGAAGGGTGCTGCTATAGGAAGAACAGTGCTAGAGAGCGAGAGAGCTATATTCAGCACAGCATCTGGATGGTATGCAGTGAACAAAGAATGAGGAAAGAAAGTACAAGGAAAAGATGCAAAGTGAAGGGGGAAAGGGTACTATGAAGAAAAACTGGTTTTTGTCATTATAAACCTCACGCTTTAGTTTTGGCATTTCCTAACTTGTTGGTATTTAACTTTACAAACTTTATGTAGAGATGCCTGAGAAGGAGCATCAAGTTTAGGTATGTGGGTGATACCTAAGAACCAGAAGATTAGCAATGCTGGTCATGAAATTTCTTCCAAGTGTTCTCATTGCATATTTCAGTTGCTCCATTTCTCCTGCAACTCAAATCTTTCATATTTCTGTTCCTTTTTTCTTATTGTCTGTCTCTATCTCAAACTGTGACATTTTCTGTGAAGCCTGTTAGTGAATGCAAGGTTATTCTGCTCTCTGCCTTCCCTTTTCACGTTCCTGCAGCATGAAGTATTAGAGATGCTCACTGTGGAGCAGGCTGCCACTGTCAGCTTGTATGGGTAGAGCTCAACCTACTGAAGATGGGAGTTCATGTTGGTACAGCAGGGGCTTTACCTGACCCCTGGCATCTGTGTGATCCTTGCACTGCCTGTGGACCTAATCGTTAAGGTTTTTGGTTTTTTTTAATACCTCCTAGGAGGGAGCAGAAGACTGTTCCCACAGAATACGGGTCATGTGGATGGAGGCTACAGAATGGGGTTTTAGAAGACTGACCGCTGCAAATATAATTGGATCCAAGGCTAAGGAATCTGATGAGGAGAAGGCTTTTAGGGGCTTAATGTACACAATCTCTCTGGCATTGTCAGTAGGGCTGCTTCTACAGTTCAGAAGATTGCTTCAAGATGTAATATAAATGAACATATAATTTTACGATTTTAAATTGTTTAGCTAGATCTTCATGGTACTGGCATACATTTCTTGTGGTCATTATTGTAGGAAGGACAGCCTATTTTCTCTTCTTTAATTTTGCAGTCTCTCTTCCTAGTAAGGGAACATTAAAAGGAAATTATGCTCAATTAGCATGAAGAAATCCCAGCTTTCTTTAGAGTTGCACAAAGCAAACGCTACTTTCTCTTGAGAGAACTTCAGTTTCTAGAACTTCCTCAGCAATGTCATATTACTTGGATAACATAGTCATAGCTTCCTTAAAAATACATTAGCTATATTGGACTTTAAAATAACACAGTATTTTGAGATGTTGACATCTCTTTTGCTAGGTTATGTAAGAGGTGAAAGAAATAAGGGATTACAGAATAGTTCTCTTATGTTTGTGGATACAGCATTCAGTTGCACTAATGAAGGACAGGAAATGTCTACGCTGCCCAGAGCAATGCAGCAGAGGCAGGAGGGAGCGGCTGGGGGCGGGGGGGGGGGGGGGGAATCTTTAGCTGGCCATTAACATATCAAGCCAACTTTGTAGTGATTCTTTTAGCCAGCTTACAGAACGAACCTCCTTAAATGTACTTGTCCAAGTGTTATGCAGATTATTTCTGCTTTGGCTGCTACAAATTGCTTGGGATTTAAATTATAGGAAATCTCTCATTATCTTAGTAGATAATAGGCAAAAGATAATAGGCATTAATGCATATTTACAAGCCAAAAAAGTTAATAAACTGATAAGGCTTTGGGATTGGTAATGTAAAGCAAGTACAGTACCACTTGACTTCTAATTGAAAAGTTGAATTTTCACTGTCTGTGACATGTTCACTGTGCCTGTGTATTTTAGTGCTTTGAGTTACAGATACAACTGTGTAGTTGTTGCTTTCACAACTGATAGAGTGTGATATGGAACAGATAATATATCTCTGCCAAATGTTCTTAAACATTATACAAAGTTATTTGGAAAACATGTGTTCAAAATACTGTTGATCTCCAAGAGGCTAACATTTTTCTTCTGTTAGCGTGACACCATTTGGATGTTCAAGTGCTCCAGTTCTTTTTTGAGGGATAAATAGGTGGATCATTTCAGCTTTTTAAGTTTTTCTTTCCACTTTTCCCAAAATGTCAATTCTGCCATGAGGGCAGAATAATACTAACAAATATCTATGCACTCTCTTTGCTATTCAGTAAGAAGCCTCCTCACAGGAAAAGTGGTGAGGGAAGTGGGGGGCAGAAAAGGAAACAACCTTCCCATTCCCAGATTTTCAGAAAGGTTGCTAAGACAGACCACATCAAGAATTGAACAGATATCATCTGAAAGCACATGTACTAATGTATGGCTTTCTTTATAGTGTCCCATCCCATCCTGTCCCATCTGCCCCCCCCCCCCATTATAAATATAAAGTATCCCACATTTTGTTGAAGATTTGGGATACTTTGAGATTAATGTATTACTCAGGCATGGGTGCCTCTATGAAGGAGGGGGAAAAGTGAGAGAAACCAGTGTATGCCTACCTTGATTAAAGGCTGTGCCTAACTCAGACTTCGTGGGTTTTTTATTCATGCCAGGGAAACAAACACTCTTATCACTGCCTAGTAAAAACCATAATAATGGGTATAATTTACATGTCAATGCATCTAAAACATAGATATAAATACATAAAACACTGTAGACTGTGACTGCTCTGATAGGTCCTTCAAATAACTCTTAGTCTATTTGAATCAGCAATGCTTGATATTTCTGTACGTTTGTTCCCGAATCAAATGGATAACATTCCTACAGCTGTACCTTAGTAAGTGGAGCCCTTCATGGAAAACATTTCAATAGATATTTATTTGAGGGGAAAAAAAGGGATCTTAAGGGATCTTTTAAGAACCATTTCGTGGATTTCTTTCACTTCTAATTTCTATTAATCTCTACAAGGATGGACTTAATGGTTTTAGAATTTTTTCCCCCCAACAATGTTATAAGTTCATTGGAAAGAGAGGTTTTACTCTAGGAATGTAAAGTCATAATTGCTAGCTTTGAAAAACCTCCATTTTAAAAAATATTTTCTCTTCAAAGGCCAAAGAACCTGGGACGTACACACTCAGGCAGCTGTGCATGTCAGTGGGAAAAGTGCAGTTTGTCCTTCCTCATATTTACCCAATCGTGCAGTATGATGTGTATTCTCAGGAGCCTCAATTAAAAGTGGAGCCATTGACAGGTAGGTAGACTTGGAATGCTGAGGCTGTGTTGATGTCAGTTTTGCCTTCTCACTGCATGATGTGTTTTCATTTTTCATTTAATTTAGAATGAGTTACCTTGCTCTCTTACAGCCCTCGCTTTTTTTTAAAACTTCTAGTGAGAATGAAATTTATATCTGTGAGTGTTCCTCAAATTATCAGTTACATTCTTTAAATTTAAATGACAGCGAGTATTGGTTCATTTCAGAGTCTGGATTAGTCGTGAGGAATATTTGTGCGGCTTCAAATGATTAACTGGAGTATGATCCTGCATCGCTGGAGGCTGTTGATTAGGAGACTTGAATATTGATCTAAGGGCATCGTTGACTCTGATTCTCTTACTGATTGTTTTGTGCCACTGCTTATCTTTTGGCACTTAGAGAAATCAATAGAGAGGCCCTGATCTAATGTTCTTAAAATCAATACAGAATCTTTCTATTGAATTTAGAGAGAGATTAATTATTATCTAATACAGGTCTTGCCATCACAGTGTTTGAAAACTTTCCAGGTATGAGAGATTTTACTGGTGAGGTCCCTAGAAGGGTTTGTGAAGTTTTCTGCTTAATTATCTTCTCTTGTATAAGAGACTGTTCTTAGGTTCTACTCTTTTATAAGACATTAGTTTTCCCTTTCTTCCCACAGCTCTCCCTGCCACCCCCCCATTTGGATTATCGTGGGAAAACTTTCTCAGAGGAGTATTTTAAAATGCATCTTAAAGGCTTAATTTGCCTGCTTCTGAGAGCATATTCTCAACTGAACTTCCTTGATTGAAAACACTTTGGGGATATTGTCACTGCAGTTAATGTAGACACGTCGGAACTAGGTAGCTCAGGTACTGGTAGCAGCATAGTTAGGCTGGATGGAGCATAGTGTGCACTATCTAGCCTGTCCAAGAAGTTGGGAAAATTTTGGGGTGGCTCACCATTACACCAATTGTTCTGACAACTCTACTACTAGTAGAACACAAACTAGATAGTTTATGCTTGGGTATATGTCTACATGAGCCAGACTCACTGCAGTGGCAGACTTTGTCCCCAGATGAAGAACGGCAGCAAAAATTTAGATGAAAGAGCAAATTGCCCCAAATTTAGTGGCTGAGACTCCTTATGTTTTTGGATGACTTCTACAATGAACATGCCCAAGTAAAAAAAAAAAAAAAAAAAAAAAAAAAAAAAAAAAAAAAAAAAAAAATTATAGATATCTACAGATAAACTTTTAACAGACAACTTTAGTCATTTTAATGAGTCCTGGGATAAACTAACAATGTTTGTTTTGATTTTATTTAGACAGCCTTTTGGCTGGTATTCCTCAGAAGGTGAAATTCACCGTGACTACTGGCCATTATACCATGAAGAATGGCGATACTCTACAACTTAGTAATGCTGATGCCATGCCTGTTTTGTACCATCCAGAGAGCAAGGCAGTGATCTATTCCAATACTAGGGGTGAGCAACAAAGCCAGTATTTAATGATCTGTAACCAATCTGAAAATGCAGGAATCCTCTAACATATTGTGTGTAGTAGTATTTGAAACTTAAGAACAGGACTGCCCTAATATTCAGTGACCACCATCAATTAGATATGCTTTGGATTGCAACTTGTATTTCTGTGCACGTAAACTTCTTGGAAGTCTCAGTCCATCCCTACCATCTCTATTTTTGGAAATAGCTTGTAGATGTGATCAGTTCGTTTTAGATTTTTCAGGTGTGGTTTTTTGTTGTTTTTTTTGTCGCTGTAGTAAAGACTAAATATACTCTGAGAGGGGTTATTTTATACACTGTTGGCTAATCACTGGAAAATGTAATTTGCTTAACAGATGACTTCTAGTAGTGTGTTCCTACGTGGGGCTGCACAACAAAGGAAGTCTGGTAGCAAGTCCAATGATCTTTTTCAAAATTTTCATTAGATCATCTTTTACCATAAATGGTAGTTCATTCAAGTTACAGGGTTTGCCTCATTCTATCTAGCTCTGACTTAGCATACTTTGAGTTTTCTTTCAAGCCTCCATCACCTGTGAATTGAGTTTTCATTGTGAGTGGTTGAGTTCTTGAGGCAGTTGTTCTCCTTTAAGATGAACTGAAACCTTATTCCATCTGTTATTTGTCTTGGCTCTCTGGGTGCATCTACATGAGATGCTATCTCGCTGTAGTAATGAGCATGGGCAGGCACAAACCATGATGTCAGTGCTACATTGCCTTAGCGACAAGCTATGTCGCCGTAGCATCTAAAAATAACTCTGTGCTGTCGGGACTGCGAAGCAAGTACTAAATGACTGCAGTACCAAATGCAGTCAGCGGCACATGTAAACACACCCTCTGAGTAGAGGCCAGTGTGTGTTCTTGGGCATAGCTAAGGAATAGTGAGGGATACTCAAGTGAGTTGTGATTACTTTTTTGCATTGCCTGGGTGAGGCATTACCAATACCCAGGCTGTACTGTAACAAATTTAGATTTATAATTTCACTTTAAAAGAATGGTTACATGCTACAAATAATGTTAGTGCCCAAGAAAATGAAAATATTTGCTTTTTACTAGCCATAGATTTGTTTAAGTAGGTGATATCCCAGCTTGTCCCAGAGCTCTGGTAGCGTCTTCTCAGTCCTCTTCCAAAGCTACTGAAACTTATATGTATAAGCATAAAGTGGATTTAATAGTCCAAATAGGGGAGAGATTACAAGTAGGGTGTATAGTCTCATTGAGTGTAATGCTGTATTGCAGTATGTTACTAACGTACTAATTCTTACTAATGTCTGTAGACAGCCACATATTTTTAGTAATGTAAGTTTTTCTGAAATGAAAAGAATGATGTAAAAAGTGTTGTGAGACAAGCAGTGACTCTGGGAATGCTAAATTTGGCAGGTGGACATACTGAAGGAGTTCTCTTTATATAACCCCTTATGACTAATATCAGTGTTTTCTTGAACACTGGAGTTGGAGTACCAAGGCAGGTTTCAGATTGTGTCCTCCATAGTATGAGATCAGGCTTTATCACGGGAAGTCACTGTTGAGCTCTACAGGGTAGCCTTATAACCATCATCTACACAGATATAGCTCTTAGATACTACAGATACCTTTAAGTTGAGGGTTCCAGTTAAATCTGAGAAGGTATTTCTAATTTTTCAGTGTCTGGTTTTATAATTTAATAATTGGAGAATAAAAATGGTGACAGCGGAGGAAAGATTTGAGTCTAAAACTACTTTTTTCTCGTTACCTACACTCTTGTAGAGAGAGTTTCGCAGTCAACACTAACGATCCAGTCTTCTGAAAAGATCACAAGCATTGCATTGCCAATGGCTCCTGCATATCACGTGATTGAATTTGAACTAGAAGTTATGTATTTGCCATCAGCTCCAGTAGTTGCAATGGAAAGAGAAAATCTGATAAATAAAGACCTGCACAGAAAAAGCAAAGAGAAGCAGAAAGCAGATAACTGTATGGCAACAGTTGACCAAAAAGTAAGGTGACATGTTTCTTTTATTAATAAGTAAATGAATGACCAAGGTCTTATATAGATTAAAATATAAGCATCTATGAGCAAAGAGGGGTAGCTAGTTTGCTACCTCTCTTAACATTCAAATGTTAGTTTGAAGTCAGGCAGGAGGGGAGTGAGGGGGCAGTGGCTTTAAGTCAGGGTTGGAGCTGTAGCTGCAGGGGCTGCCTGCCCCCACCCCCTATCTCCCCACTCTTTATACTCTAATCCAAGATGAAGAGCTCCTCCCCATCCCCATGTTGAATGGAGGGGGAGAAACCTTGTCTTGGAGTTGAGTAAACATGGTGTATATCGAGAGCATAAGCTTCCACTGAGTGAGCTTGAGTTCATGAAAGCTTATGCTCTTTATATATCTTGGTCTGTAAGGTGCATATCTACCCTGCCTTCAGTATAAGCATCTGGCAGCTTAAGGGGTGTAAAAGCAAGTCAAACTATAGAAAATAAACAGAGATGTACAGATCATCAGAAGTATGTGCAGAAATGTACACTGTGCTGAACACATGAATGGTTCTCCATCACCAAATACTTGCTAGTTTGGGACACTGTCTTATCCAGATATTGTGTCCACAAGTCAAGTAACAATTTGGTCACTAGTAACACCAGTAATTATAGTTTCTTCTGATTTCATTAGATAGATGCTCTGTCTGCCTGCACTGCATGCCTGCACCCTACTGGGATATTGCTTCCCTATTAGCTAAGAGAGAATGTGCCCTTGCTGAATCATTAACACCATTTCCTGAAATGGCACAGAGTTAATAGAATGGTTCTGTTCCATGTTTCTCACTTTTCACTCTATTTTTGTAACTAAAAATCAGCACAGTATGCTATGATGGCCATGTGAAGGATGACAGTCTGTTAAATAAATTGTGGATTGGTGAGCTTCTTCACAAATTGTAGTGTTTGGAGAGCAGGGTGGCAGAAGGCAGGGGTTGTTTTGGATTTCATAAATAGTAGGTGTGACGAAGAATGGACTTTCCTGCTTATATAAAGAATATTATTTCACTTAATTGGCATACGGTTTGTTTATATGTTCAGGGAAAATCGGCAGTCAGTTCAGGAAAAGCACTTGTCTTGAACCTCTGTGCTTATTTAAAGTACAAGTCTGTCACCTGTTACAGCATGCTTATGGTTATTGGTTATGTTACCATTATAATTTATTATGATATTGGAAAAAAGTTTCCAATTACTGCAGTTAGATGCTGTTGATATTTTCCAGCCTTCAAACTCGTGTGAAGTCATAGGTTCCCCAGATACATTAGCTTAGGAGTTGGAACTGGAGAGAAACAAAGCTGTATGTCTGCTTTTCATGCCAAAACAGCAACAATACACCTCAGACCTCTAGTTCTCTTTGGATTTTTGTTTGAAATAAAAGGGTTTTTTTTTTCTTTTTTTGGATGCATTCAGTTTCACTGATCAAGACCAAAGTTTTCCAATAAGTCTTTGGATGTTTGGAAAATTGCAAACTTAAATCTGCAATTGAACAGCACAAATGAGATCTTTTGTTTCTGTTTCTTCAGGTAACCATCGATTGTCCTTGGTCAGTCTACTCCACCATTATTGCATTAACATTCAGTATACCTTTTAATGCCAAACATTCCTTACTGTCAGCTGGCAAACGGTAATATGCTTGTAAAATATTTATGGTCTCTTTCCCCCTGCAAACTGTAGAAGTTAACATTCCACTGATATTCTGTGTGTAATCATCAAGGTGTGTGTGGGGTTGTTTTTGTAAATTGGTGGTGGTTTTGTAAGATGGTGATTTTTTTTGTTGCCATCTTTTATAAAATACCCACCTAAAGATTTGTGCCTTTTCCCCTCCCACACCATCAGCAAAAGAACAAATGCAGAACGGCAATGTAGTTTAGTCATGCAGACATAGGCTAACTTGGTCCACCTTTTGCTCTTATTTCAGTTGAGACACAGTAAAAACAAATCCGTGTAGAAAATTAAGTGTACCGTAGCCCTGCTTTTGCAAACTTGTAGATTACAACTACTGAGTAGACAAGGAAAGAAATGCAATATATACTGGCTATTGTTTCTAATCTTGCTTGAGGTATGCAGTTAGGGAAAAAAACTTGGTAGTGTTGATTAAATGGTTTAAATATTGGAATTCATGTCAAAGCCAAAGTTGGTATACAATTTTCATTTTATTTTTAATTTGCTTATTTTTAGGAAATATGTACAAGTGTGTGTACAGAATATGTCAGAGCTTTGCTTCGAGCTTTCGGAGAACAATCTAAAAAATTCTGGTAATTACACAGATCTACAGCTGGTACCTCTGAATTCTGAATCTCAACAGGTAAAGTGGTTTATTAATTCTTAAGTCTGAGGAATAAGATGAGCACTCCACAGTACAATTGGACTCTTTCAAATTTGGTGCTTGCATTGCTAAAAGTGTTATCACCCAGGAATATGGATTGTGTAAGAGATAATTGGAGACTGACACACCCAGATCCACAAAGTCAGAATTTTGTAATTTATTGTACAGTGTGTCAGAACAACTGTCACCTATTAAGGGTACCTTAGAAGCTAGGTTTCTTACTATAATAAACTTACCTTTGCAGGTCCAAAATTGTTTTAACGAGAATTACAGCCGATTTGCTTGGTTTGTTTGAGGTTTTTTTTCTAATCCCTTCTTGCACCACTTTCAAAGCCGCTATGTAGTTTAGCAGAGTTTTACAGGAGTCTGTTCAGGAATAGCTAAAAACCAGAATAGCTGAGGTGTAGAAAACAAATTAAGGTACATTGACCAAGCAGAGGCCTGAAATTTGTTTCAGCTTCCCTTTGTTTGGTTTGAACACAGCTCTGTCTGGTATCCAGGAAAATGATGCACAAACTTGCACTTGAAAAACGTGTTTAATCCTAACGGTTGATAAACAGGTTACTTATGTTTAGTTTTCCTTAAAAAGGTACCATTTCTGAAATGCTAATGTTGACCATGAAATTATCTTCCTTTTTATACTAACATGATTAAGCCATAGCATACTTATCTGAGGGATTTAGAGGAAATTAAAACTTAGATGGTGGATTTAGTTCCATGAATTGATTGATTTTTATATTGTGTATATAATGCATTTTATAAACTCTAAACAAGCATAAACTCTGAAAGTAGTGTATAATAAGATTTCAGTAAAAATTTGCCTTCAGTAGGTCAGCAGTATAAAAGGCCTCCTGTAGGAAGACTTGTTCTTATGGTATGGATGAATAATTTTCTTTCAGCTCATATACAGCAAGCAGTCAGTATTCTTTGTATGGGAATTGAAGTGGATGAAAGAGCTTCCGCCATCTTTGCAGTGCCAGTTCTTGTTTAGCTTTTGTCCAGTTACCTCCGAAGAGCAGTCTTTCTCCCTGAAGCCATTCATTTATGAATTCCAAGTGGAAAATTTTTTTGTAAGTACATTTTTTAATCTATATATAGTACACATTAGGATGAATGAGAAACTGAGGTTTCTGTTAACTATACTTCTGGTGATAAATCACTAGCAAATACTGTATTCATGTCACAGCACTAGAAGACTGTCAAGGTGGTAAAAACCATAAAAACAAAGAAGAGATCATATAATTATCATTAATAACAAAATTAATTGTCCACATTTTCCTTCCTGCCCTATACACTGACCCCCACTATTATTCTTGGACTGAAGAAGGGTACTGAGCTACTGGCTTGACACTGCCTTGACTAAAATGCCAATTTTAAATTCTTTTCTGGCTTGCTATTTAAAAATTGGGCGTTTGAAAATCTTTCCCTTGTAGTGACTGAGGTTGTTAGTTCTTTTTATGAACTGTTTAAGTTTTTTCTTTGGCTCTCATTTTAAATACTTCCTTTTTCCCTTCACAGGGAAAAAATCATTGTTCATTTTTAAATTCATTGTTCACTTGATCACTTAGCAAGTTTACTGGCCAGATGTAATTTAAATTACAAGGCATTGACATAAGTTCTTTAACCTTTATTCTAAATGTTGAGACATGTGGGCCTCTCTTTTCATTGAAGATAAACTGGCAAGTTATATATATATATATATGTATATATGTATATGTATATGAACTTTTTCTGGATTTAAATGGTGAAGTAGGCATAGTCTGCTCTCAGAATATTATGTTGTGTTCTTTACCTACTTGGGTAAACCGGCTTGGAATGTAGTTTTAGGTGCATTATGTAGTCTACCCACATTCAAATGTAACTAGTCTTCACTGATGTCTTGACTTAGCCTACTCTTCTTAGCTAAAATGAATAATGAACACAATAGTACATTTTTAGAAAACTTTCTGGAGCCCCTACATTTTGTAGTAAGTAACTGTAGAATTAACTCTCAAAATATGGTCACATTTGTTAAAGGATCTTGATGGCAAAAACAGTGAAATACCCTTTTTCTTTTCAGGTACTGTTTGGAGTTTAAAAGTAGTACTATAAAAAGTGATCATTACTTATGTTAGTCTCGTAATGCAGGTGGAGTCTCATCACAAAAAAAGTTAGCGCAAAGAGGATATTTCCAGACTTTGGCTGATGGCCCACAGTCACATTGCTAAATGGATTCCTACCAAAGAGAATTTGTTACTATGAAAAATTTAGTATGATAAAAGCTTTTTTGGTTCTTGTGCCTGTAATAGTGTCTTCTTACAATGAATAAAGAATATCTAACATCAAATATTTGCAAACACAAATTTAAAAAAATGCAGTAATAATTTGTTGCGGCCAGGGGGAATAGAGTTAGAGTAGCAAGAAAAGAAAGTAGTGCAAAGAAGAGATTCCAGATGGAGAAAAAGGAAACATGGCTGAAGGATTCAGCATCATTGTTGTGATAATAAACCATGTTTTTTAAAAGATTTCTACAGAATGAAATTTCAGCACACTTTTTACATTCATTGTAACAAATTTCCACCTGTTTGATTGTAGTAGGGTATGGCCATTAAATATGAATGTGTGACTTGCATTGAATCCACTGGTTAGCTTTAATTTGTGTAAAAACAAAAAACATATAGTATTTACAGATCATTACTTTTTTCCCTCCTGCCAGACATTGTATAATGTGAAAGCTGAGATTTTCCCCCCGTTGGGGGCAGAGTATTGTAAAACAGGCTCACTCTGCTCTTTGGAGGTGTCAATCACCCGACTTTCTGACCTTTTAGAGGTAGATAAAGATGAAGCATTAACAGAATCAGATGGATACTGCACAACAAAACTTATGTATGAAGGTAGGGATGTTCAATTTTCTCCTGTAATTTTTCAGAATGATGATGCAATTCTCATAACTTTTGTTTCCATCTTAGAATGTATTGATATCTGCCAATTTTTCCTGTAATCTTAATTGTGAATTGTATACATGAGTGAATATTCACATATTTTCTGACTTGGTTGTTTGCAAATGTCTCATCATTTTTACATTGATCTTTGTTTTAAAATTGAGCACAAGTTGCTTTCAGTTTTCAGAATAAGTAGATATTTTCTTGAGCCCTGTTTTTTAAAGATGTCCATCAACAGGAGATGTAGAAGATATCCTTAGTGTATCTTTGGACATGAATGCCACAAGTATGTTCCCCAGGTGTTTGATCTGAATATTCTGGAAATGGGCTGTATCTCCTACCTTACAGCTTTACTACTACTATCTCTAGCTTTTCTCCTGCTCCACCGTTTAGTAAATAAAAGCAAAGCAAAATCTACCCTATTTTGGAGAGGAGAGATGCCAAACAAGGGAAAAATGGAATTTAAATTGACACTGGTATGTTATGTCTGTTTATGTGACCATCTCTTCTCCCATCCTTTGGTCTTGTCTGTTATAGTTGCAGTTACTTCAGAGAAGCTGTCTCTTACTCTGCATTGCTCAGGGCACAAAAAGGCCCTGTACTCCTAGGCACTATTGTGGTTATAAAATGTGTATGCATATATTTACAAAGAAACAGCTGTGTTCTTTTCAAAGACAAATTTCTCTCTCCTTTGCAGTTGTTGACAACAGCAGTAACTGGGCAGTCTGTGGGAAAAGTTCTGGGGTAATATCTATGCCTGTAGCAGCTCGAGCAACTCACAAAGTGCACATGGAAGTGATGCCACTTTTTGCTGGATACCTACCATTTCCTGATGTCCGACTATATAAATACCTCCCCCATCATTCTGCTCACTCCATGCAACTTGATGCTGGTAAAGTTGTCTTAACTGTGTGGCAGACAGAACCTGGTGACTTATAGATATGGCAGTCTGTGTTACTCACTTTCCTGTTGCGTGGGGGTTTACACCGGAAAGCAGTAGTAGTTGGTTAGGCTGCAGACCAATGCAAAGGCAGTAGTAAGACCAAGTTCTTTACTGTAAGTAGTTCTCTGTATAAAAGTTCTTGTAAATTAAAGTGTTGTGTCTACATCACAATCCTCGTCAAGATACTACCAACAGCTCACTTGGCTTAGAGTACAGTGCTTAGCCAACAGCTGTGGCTGTGAGAGGGTTAGTTATCATGGGAGGCTGTCATCTTAGCAGCTGCATGGCGGGCACAGTCTCTAGGCTTGCTGCTTTTCCAGTGAAGAAAACATCTTTCCTGCTTAAAAGGCACAGCCCAGTTTTAGGAGGCTGACTTTTGGGGGGGAAAGTGTGGGTTGCATATGAGAGAATACTGTAATTCTATTCTAAATATGCTCTTCGTTAGTTTTAGTTTTAATTTTGAATTATAGCTTTTTGCAACTTAACAAATCAAGATGCTGCTTTAACAAAAATTTGTATTTTGCTTTGAAATATTAAATTGAAACTAGCTTAACCTGTGAGGTGGGTCAAGTTGAGCAGAATTATTTTAATTGATTATTTTAGGGTTCGGTTATAATGGAATTAAATGAGCTTTGCTTGCAAATTAGTTATGGTCCTCAAAAGATACAATCCTATGCTGTTAGATTGCAAACAAACTACTGACTTTCTTGTCTGCTTCAGCCTTTTTTTTTTTTTTTTTTTTTCTGATAAACATTTCCCAATGGTGGGAACACTAAAGTAGACAAGGCCTTGCCAGATTGGCATTTACACAAGCTCTGATCAGGTGTACATGTAAAATCACAGCCGCATGGAGTCTTGTGTACTTGCAATATTTTTTCCCAGTGAATGCCACCACTACTGAAATGAAAATGCGCTGGTGGCGTACATTGGAGGGGGGGAAAATGATGAGAGTGGTACCAAAATGCAGCATTGGAAAATTATATTAAAAAAAAAAAAAAAAAATAATCACACAACTTGGATAACCAAGGAGGGTGATAAATAGCAGTAATTTGGCAGGGAAATCATCCTAACTACAAGTAGCTATAGAGATAAATAGGTGTAATGCTTTAACTAAATTATGTTGTTCATATAGAATAAATCTATTTTTTTTTTTTAATCCACCCACAGATAGCTGGATTGAAAATGATAACTTATCTGTGGACAAGAATGTGGATGATCAAGCTGACAGCAGCAGCATAAGGAGCAGAGGAAGCATACATTCAACAACTAGTGGGGAACACAAAGGTCTGCCAATGCCCCGTCTACAATCCTTTTCATCTGGTCAGGTTTTCAACTCCAGCACTGGCATGCAAATACTTGTCATTCCCAGCAAGGATGACCATGTTCTGGAAGTCAGCGTCACATGACAGCTCAGTGTAAAAAAATTACAAAAACAAAAACCATTGAAGACTGGCTGTGAATGCACTTTAAAGGATTGTGACCTGCTTACTCTTCATTGTAACATTCTAACCCTAACCAGACCTATGGCATCTCAGCACTTACTGGCCATGGAAGCCTCAGACAATTTAAATGTACAGTGAAGCTTGTGTCCACTAGTTTATATTGCTACTTCAGTATGTTTGTGTACAAAGATTTTCTTTTTTTCCCGTTTGATCACATCCTGCTGATAAAGATGCTTGCTGCAATTGGTCCTTTATTTATGTAATTTGAGCAGCCTTCAGATTTGCTGTTTTTTAAAGTAGTTAGATTTCTGTTCTCAAAAATGTTTCAGGTTGACATATACAGTAAGCCTTGCAATGTGGCTGTTAATGACTCAAGTGTGTGCCTTTCCAGTCACACGACTGTTTGGTTTTCTGGACCAGGATAGCTTTCAACGTCTGTCAATCAGCGTGCGTGATTCTGAATCCCACAGCAACTAGAAGATTTTATATATTTTTTTCTCTTGAAGACTTGCTTAATCTCTTTTGTGCCTTGGGACATACGAATTACATTTACCCATAAATAGACCCTTGAGAAGGATACCACATAGCAGCCCATTAATTTCTCGTACTCTTTTTAAAAAACAAAACAAAACATGACCCTTGATATGACCAGAGGCATGGCACAAAAGTGGTTAAGCTAGGAATAAGCGTTCATGCAACCATGGTTTTTCCTCCAAACAGGTATTTAAGAAAATGAGAAATACTATTAGTGTTGGATCGGATATGTAATGTATTACTAAACACTAACTTGCTTGACTCTCTGAATAGAGTTGATTTCTCCCTCGCCCTAATTAGTGCTTACTTTGTGTATTTACAGAGCCATATGCTTTTGCACCTTGATTCTAGAGTTTTCTGAAAAAATAATGTAATTTAAAATAAAGATTACTTGACTATTTCCAGTCTACATATGGGGAAGGATTAAAGTCCTAGTATTGAACCTCTTCTGGTCCAGCAAACTGCAGTCATAACCATACCAACTGATTATTTTTCAGTTGTAAATTTTATTGTACATATGGTTGATTATTTAAAAAGTCCAAACTAACTGATGTAATGTCTGTGTATAAGTTGCACCAAAAATCAAGGACAAAATAAATGTGTGTTTTTATTGGTGTGAAAGTCACAGCTTGTAAATAAGTGTAGTGTTTTAAACCTTTTCCAGCTCTTAAAAGCTATGTATTTTTGTATATATATATAATGTATTTCTCTGAAATTCACTGGTGAAGTCTTTGGGGGGGGGGGGAAGAAAAAAAGTCAGTGTGAACTGATTCATAATTCCAGCAGATGTGGCCTCTTAATGAAAGAAACCTCTACAATGTGAGCCTTAAAGGAATAACAAAAATCCTCTGCAGTTGTTTCCATAGGTTCTTAATGCGTCTTAATAAGGGGGGAGCACAGAACAGAATTTCCAGACACTTGAAGTATTTTTGTCTCTCTGTGTACAAACTTTCAGTAAGTTTGTGTGTTCATCACTTCTTTCTTTATGCTTTAGAATTCACTCAGATTTGGAGAATGCAATCATCAGTATGTTGTTATTTTTTATCTTTAGAGGGAGGAAGTAAGTACGTATTGGTTTTTCCACATCTGCCAGAAGTGATTGATCTACACTGCATATAATATAAATTTTAATAAATGCGTTCAATTTCTTTTAAAACCGGAAGGTAGCAGTTGCTTTAGCATCACAAAACTTCTGCTTGCAGCCTTCTGGTAACTACAGTCTATCGTTTATTTAACACTGGTGGAAGAAGGGTCACCACAACCAACATGTGAGAATAAATCATCCAAATGATGTTTGTGTTTGTTTCTTTTTCTTACTGAGGGGGAAAAGCTTAGGTTGTCATATCACCTAAACTACTAAACAAGCTTTATTTGTGGATCAGCCTCTCGCTCTGATGTCTACTGAAGCAAAGGCCTGGAACATTAATGTAAGCTACTTGGTTTTTTTGAGTTCCCAGATGAGAGAGATTTTTTTTATTAGCATTTGAGTGATTTGTTTGCATTTTTCCTTTTCCATTTAAACAATCAACTCCTCATCGCTATGACAGTCTAGATATTACTATTTAGAGGCAAGACTTCTGCATATAAGATGGAGGAAACAGGTTGGTTTTATGTTTAGGAAAGTTTGCGGATGTAGAATAATTGTGAAGCAAAATTTAAAATGTGTAACTTAAAGAATTAAAATATTTATAGATATTTGTCAAACATGTAAATATAGCAAATGTAAAGAAAAATCCAAGGTGTAATTTTTGTGAATGTCACGGGTTTACCTGTGACTGGAAAAATTATAACTCTCCTTGGTTATTTCCTGCTTCTGATATGGAAATTGTTCACTTAACATAAGATTGACTTTTTTACCTGCAGTTCTATAATGTCCTATTGTCAAGATGCTCCACAGAGGAAAACTGTCCCATTATTAAATATTTGTCAATGAAGATATAAAAGAGAAATAATGAGGAAAGGATTTCCAGAAAGTTTCTCTTTTTTTTTTTTTTTTTTTTTTTTTTTTAAATTCAGGTTCTGAGAGTGTAAGCAAAGAGAGAACCATTCTCTCTGAATGAGAATGGAAAAGAAATTGAAGAATGAATTAAGATGGTGTATCACACTAACTATTTGACTTAGATCAAGGTTGCTAAAATATAAGTAGATCTGCTAGTACAAAACCGTATCTTTATTGCTGCTTCTTTCTGTGAAGGAATGCCCTTTCTCTGAAATTCATTTTATTCTGGATAAAACCCAAAGCATCATTTAGTATGGATGGCTGCTAGGATTTTTTGACTGGAAAAGGTGACAAGTTAGTGACTTTGACACTGCGGGTATTATGATTAATTCCATTTTCATGGTTTATTATTAAAGATCATTTTTCACATTGTTCTGTAATATATTGTTAGACTAAACACAAATTGTATTAAGATTGTTTAATGAAAATGTAAGCATTATAATTCTAAATATACATGTTTTAAAAAGAAAACCGGTTTCTGTGTTGCTATGATTTCTCACCCATCCTTTGCAGTTTAGGTAACAAAATTGTTTAATGTGTTCAAGAGTAGATCTAGGCTTTTGAAAATGGGGTTGCAGGTAGTGTGGTGCATCAGAACAACGCACACTTTTCTCCACTTAGAGAAATTAAAAACTTATTAATATGCTAGGCGCCCAGAACTATATTATGCAGTTTCAGATCCATGCACAGCTTTGTCCTGAGTATAGCTTTTATTCAAATGTGCACTAATTTTCTAAAGCAGAGGTGCTCAGCCTTCAGCTCGCAGGTTGGGTGTAGCCTATGGGCCTATGACATCTGACCTGCAGAATTCCCCATAAGTTGGGGAAATTCTGGTGGTGGGGGAACAGTGGCAATACTGCTGCCCTCCCCTGCTTCCAAATTCCTAAACCCCCTGTGGTGGGTTGGAAAAGAGCCATGTACCCTCTCTTCTCTCCCCCCCAGCTCAGTCAGGTGGGGACTGGACCAAACCCTGTTTGCTTGCATGGCTGAATTGGGGCCAGGCTGGACCCCATTCCTCTCTGCATGGCTGGATGGGATCCTGCCCTGGGTGCTGGATCAGGATCAGCAGCTGGATCCAGCCTGTAGATGAACTGGCAGTGACCATTGGGCAAAGAGGTTGGGCACCACTCTGCTAGAGTATATTTTAAGATTTAAAAAGCCACTACAAGCTAAGCAAAAAGTTACAAGATACTGTTCTTGTGAGTCATGTAGTCATAATCAAGTTACTTAGATTCCGAATACACAATCCGGCCTCCTGGAGCACCTTGACGGTGCATCCAACACTTTGTTCTAGGTCACTTTCACACCTGAGTCAGTGTACATGGGAGTTAAAATTGCCACACCCAAGTAAAGTGTTTATGCTAGAACTAAAGACGGCCTGCGGAGCTGCAAAATGTGTATATATTATGTATGAAGGGGTCCTTATGTTTGCACGGGCTGCTTTCTCCGCGCGCCCCATCCCCCACAAGCGCCTGCGCAGGGAGCAGGACGAGCCAGCTCTGCTCCGGCAGCGACAGAGCGCATGCGCAGCCCTAGTCCCCGCTGCCTCTGCTCCTCCCAGACCCTAGAGGGCGATAGCGACGGTTCCCCTACCTCCGCTTACTTCCGCCGCCTCCGGGAAGTGACCCGGAAGTGGATGCTGGTGTGAGTAGGGGGTGTGTATTGCTGTCGTTCCACGTGCGCCGGGACCTGACCTGCCGCCGGCATGAAGTTCCGGCATGAAGTTCGCCTACCGGGTGAGGAGGGGGCCGTACCGGCCGGTTGCTAGTTAAAGGGGGAGGCCTGGGGGAACCGAGTGGGGAACATGCTGGGGGGGGGGCGCTTTTCGGGGTCTCCAAGAGGTCTTGTTGGGGGGGGGGCGCGGCGCGGCGCGGTTCAGGCAAGGAAGGTGCCACGACAAGCGCGCACGGGTTTGGTTTGTTTGTTTGTTTTGGAAGAGCAAGAGGGAAGCAAGTAGCGAGGAAGGAGCTGCATGAGGCAGTGGGGTGGGGGTGCTCTCAGGAGAAGGAAGGTTTATTTATGCAGTGGATGAGGGGGAGGATAAGGGAGGTCTTAGAGGAGGAAGTGTGGGAGGGGAGTTGTCAATTTTGGGCAGGTGGGATGTTGTCGTTTTGTAGTATTGTCAACTCTCGTGATTT